AATTCTCTATCATCAATCAAGATCGAGATGAAAAGAATGATAATCAAGGTAAAATTTCAAGTTATTCTTTCCAGATGTTTTTAATAATCATTTAAAAAATTAACATAAATGTACGTTTTACATATGAAATGAATAATGATAGATATTGATGCCAAATCTACAAATGAAGGTAAAATCGCTTAAAACGTTTTTAAAAGATTAGTATGTTATTTTAAAATAATACACAAATTAATGAGACTTACAACATAATAAATTAGCTAAAGAACTTGTCAATAATGCTGACGATAACAAGCCACTGCCAACATTGTCACTACTTGATTCCACTTCACTACCACAAATCTCAAAGAATATTGAGACAGGTTCGTTATCACCGAACTTGCGCGAAGTTATTGACGATAAAGGTCAAACCCACTATTTCAACGTGGTCACCAACAAGATGCAATGGGAGTGGCCAGTTGTGGAGGACAACATCGAAAAAACAGTTTCTTTAGATCTTCAAACAGAGGAAAATAATTCCGAAAAAATTATAGAGAATCAATATATTGCAAGGGTGGATGAAGCAGAAATTTTAAACCAGCCATTACCTCTTATAAAAGAAACATGGGAAGAAAAGTTCGAATTGATTAATGGCATAATCGTTGATAAATATTTAATTGAACAATCAAGTAATCCTGTAATAGATCATCGTTATTCAAAAGTTGAATACAAGAAATCAAATAATATGAAGATCTCACATGCTTCAAAGATATGCGACTCTTTTATGCTTTCTCAGGGAATAGAAATTGACGCAATTTCAGCTGAAGAATTAAAGAAGTTTTTCAGGCTATTCAATTTAAATACTAGAAACACTTCAAATAATGCACTTTTAAACGATCTAAAAACGCACGATGTTTATTGTGAAATTACAAGTGAGCAAGTTTCTGTTGAATACAATATTCAAAATATTAAGATCACTGCTGAATTAAAAGTAGCCATTGATAAAGCTTTGGGGACAAATACGCCAATTGAAAATTTAAAACATATTTTCAACAAGTTCGGGTACTTATTTGCTATGAAAACAGTAATTGGCAATAAATTACAAAGGATAGTACGTTTAAATGGAGACACGAATGACAACGAAAATAAATATCCAATCTATTTGCCAGAATTTAATGAAATAGGTAAGAAATAAGAATATTCATATTTTAATTTATTTTCATGAAACTTAACATACCTTTTTTGTTATAAGATAATGAAACTTTAAACAGTTGGAAAAAAGAAATTCAACCACATGATTCTACGTATCTGTTGACGATGGATGGTATCCCAATTGCAATCGAGTAATATTTAGTTTTTCAAACTTTTGTTTTAGTATTTTAATGTTTAATGATTAATTTTATTTTAATTTAGCCAAATACCAAAATGGCTTGCAACGATACCAGTATTCGAAACGGAATGGCGTATTATCAAGCGCGTCGTTACCCCATTATATAAAATTCTTGATATCGAACAACAACAAAAAATTGAAAAGCTTTTCAGTAATCAAGATCATATTTTAATGACCAATACAACTACAATTTTGGATTTTAACGCAGGATATCAACGAATAGAATTTAATGATAAACTAAAGAGCAACAAGTATCAAATCTTTGGAAATGTTGTGGATGCTAATGGCCAAACATTCACAAATATTTATGTGAAATTTAGTCTAAAGTCAGATTATGGATTTTCAGTAAATTGGATTCAGGACGATATGAACCATTTTGAAACGTAAGAAAATAGTATGAACTTTTTATTTCGTGCAAAAAAAAAATCATTTAAATTTTTTTTATTTATAAGTTTGCAAGCCTCGTATAAGCTTAAATGGATGTTAATTGGGTGTCCAAGTGAAATCGGTTATTTTGACGCGACAACTCGTGACAAAGAAATTAAAACAGGATCTACAGAAATGAAGATTACATCCATGAAAGAAGCAGTTCCGGAAAATGATGATCTAGCACAACAATGGACTTGCCGAATAAATGTTGATATGCCTCTTTCTCTATCTTCTGTTGTTTCACTCAACGTCGAATATCCTACTACACAAAAAACACCAATTTTCAAAGCAAGCGAGAACATATCTGATTCAATTATCGAGGTAAAAATTGAGCCAATCGATTATGGGAACGTTGAATTTTTGAATTATGAAGAAACTACGGTTATAATTCGATGGTGTGTATTGTTTTGAAGGGAGTCTGACTAGAGATTGGTTTTATTATAATTATTAGATAGCGCACAATGAGTCATGAATAAAAATTCAGAAATTTGGGATATACTTTATAATATATTGTAAAAATTGCATTGCTTTTATTGCTTTTGCTTTTAGAATGAGCCACAATCATTTTTGTTACTAAAACAATTGAACGTATTTGTTGCTACATGTGGTATGTAAACTATCATTCAATTCCTGACAGTATTGAGCACTACACTTAGTCTAGTCATTTTTTATTGTTTTTGGACTTTTGGACTATTTGACTTATAATTTAATGAGTCCAACCGAGACCAATAGGTTCGGTTTGTCCAAAATTGTTTACTGTATTAGCATTTGTGGCATTTTTGATTTGCAAAATTACAATCAAGAAACCATTAAATGTTTTTGACTGGCAGATGATTTTATTTTAGATAAATTTGACGTATGTGTGTATTTTAACGCTGCGTCATATTGATAACATATGTTTTTATTTGCAGGTGAATTTATTAATGGTTTCAGAATTTAACCAAATTTTCTAGCAAACAGGATATACAAGAAGGACACTTATTTCATTCTCTTGTTATAAAATTGAATCCTGTCAAGATTATATGAATATGTGGTTAGACTATAAGTTTATTTTATAGCTCTTAACTTGAACATAAATTTCTAAATAACATTTAACTAAAATTAGGTATTAAAAAAGATTCAATAATCTAGAAACATATAGTGATCCTAATTTTATTTTATTAAATAAGTGGATTCATTAGTCAAAATCGATATACAAACCGATATTAGATTATAGCGCGCGTTGTCAATAGATTTAAAAAATCACTTTTTAAAATTTTCCCCTAAATATATAATTCAGAATTCACAGTGCTAATTACCTCGAAAAATTTATGCGATAGAGGTCAAGATTAAATCTCTACAATATAGTCAGTATATTACGTAATGAATTAGCTCATTATAGTGGTTCATTTACTTCAGAATTCTCATGAAATGTAATGTTTGTTGTAATTAGCCTAATAATTTTTTGACAAAATTTATTATAGATATTTTATTGTTCATTACATAATTACGCTATTATCTTTTTTGAGGCACGCGTAATTACAAAATAATTATATATGCTTTACGAATTTCAAATTCTCTTAATTGTTGCAAATTTCATTCGTGTAAAATGACAAAAGAAACAGAAGCAGTTTGAATATTAAGTTATCTTTGTTCAAAATCATTCATGTAGAAATAATTAAAATACAATAAATCAAAATTATTCATATCGAAAAGACATAAACATTAAATGTGTACACACACACATATACTGTAGATATAAGTTCCAATTAACTTATTTTTAATTAATCATATAACATGTCAATTATGAATGAAAAAATTCTTTATCAATAATTTTTAAAAATCAAAACAAAAAGCACCATTACTTTACTAAATTGAGTTGAATAGAGTTATAAAAATGCAAACACATATGTCCTGCTAATTTTCCGAAAATAAATGTGCATCTTGCTTTAAATTTTTCCATATAGACCAACACAACTCTTCTATAGTACTGTTACATTATCTCCCAAAGATGTTGGATCTAAAGAAAATATAGCATAATTAACGGTAAGAAAGCTTAGAATAATTGATTGACAATAAGAGGGTTCTCTAATTGTTCTAAGGATCTCCTGTGATAACTTTTACGAAACCTACAACAATTCAGAATTAAAGCACAAGGTAATCGTCAGAATATAGCATTTATACAAACTGAATGGTTTGGTTTATTCAACATCAACAAAACAAAATACAAAACTAACTATGATTTATTTGAGTGGAGTTCTTCTTTTATCAATTTATGTTAGGCATAAAAAGAAATAAAAGCCACTTTGTGCACAAGCTTTGAAGATAATCAAACGAAAGAATAATAGTTTATTTACGAGTAAAGGAATTATTACAAGTAAGAATGTTATTGATAAGAGCGTATCGTTCAAAGTCCAATATACTGCCTTTTTATACAAATAGATCGATACAGTTGATATTTATCGATATTTAACTAACTTTTGCACTAGAACTATCGTTCCTAAACAATAAGTTTGAAGACAATACAAACAATAATAATTAAGAAGTATAAGGGAGAACAAGGACATGAACTTCAAGAAATATCGATTTAGAATACTAAACATCACCAAAGATGTATGTTTCTTATGAATTAATTGAACGTCGAAAGATATAATAAACAAAAAATTAATAACAATAAGTGCATAGATAAACTTACGAAACGGTGTTGGACATTAGTCCAAAAATTATAGAAATATTGATGTCATGTAATTACGGAGGAATTATAGACTTACAAAATCTCAACGTTACTACGGTAACGTAAATTATTTAATTATTGTACTGTTACAATTATTTCATAAAAATCAGCAATTCCGGAAGCGAATCATCCTGACCGACAAATATTCCACAACACCACATATTTCCAGACCCCTTATTTTTCAGCATTATCCAGCAGCACGTCGTAGCCCGCCCGCACCCCTTAATCCGTAGCATTCTTCAACACACGAGATCACATTACGCCCCTATTTTTCCACATTTGCTAATACACATTGTCGATATTAAAGATCGTAATAATTTATCCCCTTATTTTTCTACATTCTTCAGCACAAGTAGTCGATAATCGCGACGACTTTCTTTCCCCCCATTTATCCAACATTCTTCAGCACAATTTTTCACGCTCTTTAGTGTAATGGAGCACGCCACTCTTACTTTAGTAATCCTTTACCACCACCCGATCTATTAATGTAATAAAGAAATTAGTTAGAATTAGAATAGTATATTTTTTTATATAGTAACATGAATGGCCCTCAGCCTTTAAAAAAATAGAAATAAAATTATTTACATTACCCTTTCTCCAAGAGAAATACTTGTAAAAATTGTTCCATAGAATTGTAATTCTAACATGTTGATTTGGTTCTTTCTACCAGAAAAGTTGATGAATTGGGTTAGGTTCTTTAGTCCAGAAAAGGCAAAACACATCATTGATTGTATGATTTAATTGATCCGAGTTTAAGGCTTTTATCTAGAAAAAGCGCAGAAATAAAAAGAATAGAATAGTTGATAATTAATAAACGAAAATCCCCTTTACCTTTCTTCATACCTACTCGCTTACCTTTGGAAACGTCCATATCCGTAGATATCGGCACAGGATTTAGACCAACAGGTAAAATTAGTCTAATCGCCCTCTCCCAGCCACCGTCACGGTGCACAAATTTCCCCAAATCCACGAAATTCCAGACTCGATGTCAATTACATGTATGGCTATAATCACAAAGTACACATGTACATTTGTTGATTTTATCTGTTTCCACATAAATCAGGTTTCTCTCTAACAATTGGATTTGAATTTTTGTTTTCTTTATATAATACTGCATTAATTTCAAGATTTTTATGTGAGCGCGTCGTCCGATAAGTTATTGAATTTCCAGTTGTTTTTGGATTTTTGTTTCCCAGGTTCACCAAAGGCTGCTAAAAACGATAACCCGCGATTAATGCTAGTATATAAACATAGATAAAGATTCATAGAATAAATGTTGATGTGTATTAAATTCACCGCGGTAATTATACAATGTCTTCAAACTTTACTATTAATTTCTGTTTGCTAATTTTATCCGATAAAGTCTTGTAGTATCAATCCTTTTATTGCGCTTTTTGGTTCGCTTTTTGAAAATTCAATTTCATCCTACATTCAAGTTTACATGATTCCTTAACCGTTTCCGAATTGGCTCATGTTCAACCAATAATTTTCAAAATTACATGTATTATTAAATATCTGTAGAAAAAGAAATCCCTATTCGTGATCATGCATGATCCTGTAAATGGGTTCGTAAACCCATTTTTAGGCTTATTTGAATATTTGGTGCATCAGCAAGGAACATATTGAATTTCTTTCAACTTTTATTCATATAGGTATTTATGTGAATGCTCGAATTTTAGTTCGAACATTATATTGCGTGCAATGTTGAACCAGGACATATTCTTCTCAATAACGAAACACTTTACAATTTCATTTTTTGTTTTAATTAAAACATTGTTATACTTACAGTTAAAATTACTCGTTAAATGGTTTCTCAATATACACTTAAAGTTTGATTCAACGATATGATGATATAATGATATCGAACAAAATAAAATTTCTTCACTAAGTCCATGTAAAGATTAGTTTAATTTACTGAGAATTAATACTATTCTCGTGATTTAATATTTACCGAAATAAATTATTACCCTATAATGTTTGAATTAGCGACTTTTTATTTCTGCCGACGCTTGATTTACCGATTACCCAGTTTAACAGAAACACGAATATACATACTTAACTAATAAATTTTATACACAGCACTATGAAGTCTACCAATAGAATTTTAGACTCTTCATTGGTAGTTAAAAGAAGAATTTGTAGTATGACAAAGCTTTGATTTCCTATTTTCGTATATGTCAGATAATGCTACTTACTACAATCTCAAATAGGTTTCGTTGATGATTAATTTGATGCTTCAATTAAATTTTTCTATTAGGCAAATATCGAACTAGATCGAATTAGAATAATATCAAGCGCATAATTAATTTTTTGCAAATTCGATGATGAAATCAGCCAAAAAGATAACAATTGTCAATGTTTAATGTTTCTATTAAGATAGAATTATCATGTTTTGAAAAAGACATGAGATCGCTTATTAAAATATACATAAAATCAAAATTTGGCTTTTTAGTGAATTAGTTATTTAAAATAAGCTCCCAAATTTGAAAGAAAAATTATTGTTATAAAAAATCTATTAATAGTATTCTCTTAAATCTAAGGTGAACCTATCAACTTTCGTATACCACTCCCATTTTGTTACGGGGCACGATAATTTGGAGCAATCTAATGTCAGGTACAGTACTGGCAAAAAGTGATGGCGAGGTGCTCATTAAATCATTATTAAAGATCACAGAAAATATTTATCTATGTTATAAGT